GCATGATCTATTTCTTCATTATTAATTCTATTTTGTAGTAAGGTATATATTCCTATGATTAAGTAATGCCAATGTTTATAATATCTTGGAGGCAGTAATCCCTGGAGACAAATTGTAGAGGTATATAATAAAAATGTACGCCATTCTGAAGCTTTCCATTGTTTTCGATCATGAATACTCCGTGATGTCCTTGTAACTTCGTGTGGTGGTTTTGTGTTTAGTAAACGAGCATCAAATTCTCTAACTTTTCTTCCTAAATACCAAACACAAGTAGAATTGGAAGAGTCGAACCATGCTTCAACAAAAGTTTTTACCACACCAAGTAATACTGAATGCATATAATCTGGCACAAAACTTTTTATTATATGAAACTCGCCCAACAGTAATAGAACTGATGCTCCTTTTACTCCTCTTCTAATAAAACCATTTACGTTTACAAAGTCACAGTCATCCAAATGCTGCTGTAGAGTTCTTTTTGGGCCAAGACCACCAATGTACATGCGTGATTGACCTCTCCCTASATTCCGAATGGCTCCTTCATTAAGACAAAATGGACATCCAAACTTCCCATTGAATTGTTTTATATTTTGAATCATTGGCCTAGCAACCGAATCAACAGATGAAATTATGCTATGTACTTTAATATTATAGTAAGTAATTTACTAGATTGTTGAATAAAGTCTATTCCATTATTTTTCAAATCACAGAGTTCTTTAGTAAATGGATCTAAAAATGTATTCATATCAGGTTTGGTGGTTGAATACCATAATCCAACTAATAAAATATTTTCTCTTCTATCATTATACGATAATTCGTTAATCATTACTTGGATAGGCCATACTGATATTTTGGAAGACTTAAAAACCTGTATTCCATTGCAAACTTATCCATTTTGTTGTATTATACTTAGCTTTAAGTTTTTTATACATTGTTCCACTGATAACATCATTGATTGTGCCATCATCACTGTAGTCCCAACAAAGTTTGGTTCCAATATTTGTTTCCAATAAATTTTTAATTTGGTCTTTCAGTGGAAATGTTAAAAAATAACCTAATGATTCTTTTAAGCTTTTCATATTATTATCTTTTGAACAATGGGGACATTCAACTTGAGTATTTAATGTATTCATTTCATCTAACAGTCCATGACAATTTTCACAAAAAAAATGTTGTTTTGGAGGATYATTTTTATATTGCTTTAATAAATAATATTTGGATAGATGAACAATGCAAGGTGTATGGCAATTTACTAGATCAATTAAATCATCCAATGCTCTTGCTGTAAGTTTATGTCTTAAAGCAAACATTAACAACAAAAGTTCACTTTCACCCAGTGATATTCTGCACCCTTCATATAATGGCTTATTTCTGATATTAACTGGGGTTTGAAAAGTCTCATCAGCTTCCTAAAAAAAAAATTATCCAATATTCATAAGTATGTAATAGCTATAATTTGTTTAGCAGTTCATTATATCAGCTGGTTGTAATATATTAATACTGATTTTATTATTATTATTATTATTATTATTATATTATATCATCTATATATAAGTAATTATAATTTGGCAATATTATAATTGTTAACTACATAATAACAATTAGGTAGTTAAACTAAAACATACGTTTAATATGATAAAGATGATACAATATAATACTATTATGTACTGTTGATTATTATATATACAACCATTGAGCCATTTTATTGAAGATAATAATAATTTTATTACTTACCGGCAAATCTACATCATTGTCATCATCTGTGTAAATATAATCTTCTTCAACATTATCTCTATTATTATGTTGGAGAGTATCATTTTCCTAAACAAAATTTTAAAATTATTTTTATAAATACAAACGTTTTACTGTGTTGGTTAAATGTAACATTGTAAATCAATTTATAAACGATTAAAGTTACTTAATTTTGAATATTCAGTATTACAATAGTAGGTAGGTTGGTTTATTTATTTTTATTTTTTTAATACATTTTTTGTTTTTAAATGTTTTTTAACTAAATAATTAATTTTAAATAGTATAGGTAGTATTTATTTAGTTTTAGTTAGTAATAATATACAGTTATGTAAATTTTCTCAATTGTTTAAGAAATATATAAAATWAAATAAAATTATAGTTACTTAATTACTTTGACAGATTATTAAAAAAAAAAGTAAATAATTTAATAATTTAATTTTTGTAAATTATCTTATATAATGAATTGAAGTTACATATTTCATACAGTATGATATATATATACAATATACCAATACATAACCTTTATATAGGTTTAATTCGAGGTTTAATTTGAAATGGTTAATATACCTACTAATATGAATTAAGTATAAAGTATATAATACATAATTTCCTACCTATATGGCTATATAAGGTGTATTAGCTGTATTACACCTAGGCGTAATTGCACCTTTGGACTTTGGTCCTTAAAATTATTTAATTTGGTTAAAAATTACCTCTTCAACTGGATCATTAATGAAAATATCATGATAATCATCATTAGATTCACTATTTATTCCTTCAACTCTTGAAATGTTCACCTATATTGATCATTGTTTAAGATATAATTAATCAAGAATAGTACCTCCTATATCAATAATTTATTTATTATAATATTGATTTTGAGTTAACAATGGGTGAGTTAGGTAAACAAATTCATATTATGTACCTGTTGTGATTGAGACCATCGTGTCTGTCTAGAAACGATTATTGGAGTGTCAGCAGGCTCTGATATATTATGTGTAAGATATTTTTTATATCTTCCTCTTGGCAAGCGTCTGCTGCTATTATTTTCTGACATTGACATAATTATTTACTATATTATATTTATTTTATGAAATATTGTTCCTAATATACTAATATTATATAGACTGTTAAAATAGCACAAAATGAACAATAAAAATACATAATATATATAACTATTAGTCCAGTGCCGGCGCTAGGGGAGGACAAATGGGACATTTGTCCAGGGCCCCGCGCTTGTTAAAAGGCTCTGTGATTTTTAATTATAATCTTAATACCGTGAGACACATTGGCATTTTATAACAACAAATTATAAATCTATATTATGCCTATCGGCTATCACCAGTTTTTTGGAAAACGATATATAAATTTAGCCATAGTACCAACTACAAAGTAAATCGTTATCGATACGACGAAAGCGTAGTATTTTGACGATACCCGTCGACTAGAATTCTTATAATAAAAAATAAATAATAAYATAAATATTTATTATCTCTATAGTTATTGCTTTCTCTATTCTATATTTGGAAAGGCTTTCCGCGTATTGTCGTATGCCCGTATCACCGAATTATAGAAGGAGGATTATCTAAAGTCTTTTTATTGTCTTTTGATAGTTTTTTTTTTCTTTTTATCTATTTACAGTTCGACATTAATTGAGTGTTAACCGCAGTCCACTTTGCACGTTTTTTTTAACAATTTCTGCATATCACAAAAGTAAGTTTTCATTTTATGAAATTACTATTACACTTTAGTTTAGAGTATAGCCGTATTAAATATAGGTACTGCGTGAGTATCAGGAATCAGGATTTTTTAATATTTGTTGTCTACCGTCGTATATTGCATTATTCTGCCTGCCCATTATTRTAATATGAGTAGCATYTTCTTAAAAGGAATTTGCACTCGCATGTGTTGTCTCCGTCTTACACACGTATGGTATACCAAATTACCAAATTTTCGTTCGCTAATTTCAATAGTATGCTATTAATTTTGATATTAGAACGAATTTACTAATTATCAAACTTTTAGGTAGGTAACAACATTATGTGTGTAGTGAGTTCTCTCGTTTGTTTTTTACGATATTTTAATTTTTAAGTGAGTTATATGTATGTTATATGTATGTTGTAATGATTTTATTATTATTATATTATTATAATATGTTTTTTATATTTTTT